TCTCTACTTCATAGTGATATCTTCGGCTTCAGACTGATTTTCATCACTATCGTGCGCACCTTCATCTTCTTCCAACAAAGCTTACCTCTAAACAGTTGGTTCTGGATACTTCTTCAAGTAAGTTTTACAGTCAGTACAAAGAACTCACCCAGATGTATCATGGTTGGTCTACTCCCGCGTATTTTTGTGCTCCTGTTTCGAATTTCGCCTGCTGCTTGCTTTTGTTATTCACTTTTTAGGATTACCTAACCAGTCATGCATTCAAATGGAATCCTGGAGATAGCATTTGTCAGTGTGCACCTTGCCATCCAAACCTTGTGACAAACTCGCACATGACTGTGATGCGGCCTCACCTTCAAGAATATCAGAAGATTCAGGCAATAACCAAATAATTCCTAATTTCGAACTGAGCCTGCTTCAACGCGCCTCTTATATGCCATGAATAACGGTATCTAATGCATGGCTTAACACTGTATATAATAGTCATTTCTCATTACCAAAATGATCAAACCCCTAAACTGGTTTGTATTCAGGTAACTTATGTTGTATGAAATATATATATTATTATTATTACTTTCGATGGTCTGGTACGTTATTACTGAGGTCTTATCCCCAACCGTACCTCCGTCATGAGACCACTCACAGATCTACTTCGAGGGACTACGAAGTGCGTGACCCTGGACAACGTGGCTAGACTTGCTCTCCCTAAAGTCAAGGAGCCCATTTCAAACGCCACGATGCTTACGCATCACGACCCTACTGCTCCTTTGATTATTGCCGTCGATGCATCTGACTCAGCAACCGGAGCAGTTTTACAGCAGTTGACTGACAACCGGTGGCAACCTTTAGCCTTTTTCTGGAAACGGCTGTAAGAGGTTGAAACAAGACACAGTACACTTGATAGAGAACTCTCAGCTATGTGCCGTTCTGTACGCTATTTTCGACATTCGACGGAAGGTCGTGACTTCACTATTTTCACAAACCACATACCGCTAACCTTCTCTCTTTGTTCGGCATCTGACAAATACTCCCCTCGTGAGTCGTGACAACTGGATTACACTTCCCAATTCGCTTCAGATGTCCACGTTTCCGATGCGCCATCTCGAATAGCTTCGATAAACCATATCGAAGGCGCTGATCTCGTTGAACCAGCTGGGTGTCGAAAAGGAGACTTTGAGCTGCATCATGAGTTGTCGTTCGCAACTCTCAAGCTACAACTGTGTTCAGTAGGATCAGGCAAGGATATAAGTTTATGCGATGTCTCCGCTAGTCAACGCCGTCCAGTAGTTCCAAAGAATTGCCAGTGCAACGTCTTCAATACGTCGCACAAACTGTCCCACCATAAGGTTAATTGCACAACGTTTCTGCTGGCTGAGAATGAACAAAGACATTAAGGAGTGGGCTCAGTCATGCCTAGCTTGTCAGAAGTATTTTAGGATCTCTGCCAGAGTCTAATGGATATGCTTACGTTTTCACTTGCGCGGATCGTTCTACGCGATGCCTGGAAGCAGTACCTATTAAGAATATTACTCCCGAAGCTATCATCCGTGTTTTCGTAGAAAGACTGATCGCCAACTTTGGGTGCCCATCTTACTTAACAACCGACCGTGGGCGCCGATTCCAGTGTGGATTATTTCACGCTTTGACTGCACTTTTGGGTTGCATTCGGTTCCGAACGATAGCCTACCAGCCACAAGCAAATGGCATGGTAGAACGTTTCTATTGACAGCTGAAAGTTTCCCTCTCAGCTGTAAACATACCTCAGTGGACCGAGGCTCTGCCACCAGTCCTACAGGATGTTCATGACGCTTTGAAAACTGATGCTGGATGCAATCCTGCAGAACTCATCCATAGGACTACTCTTCACCCACCAGATAAGTTTCTTTCCCCTTCAACTTCCAAACATGTTTTCGATAGACCTTTTCCTGTTAGACCTCAAACGACTGATGTCTTCATTCACCTTGTTTTGCAAAAGACATCGCACATGTTCATTCGCCACGATGTCGTTCGTCGACCACTTGAACCGCCTTAAGATGGACCATTCAAAGTGATCAAGCAGCCCGAGAACTTTTACATAATCGAGAGAAACCGATGTTAAGATACTGCTAGCACCGACCGTTTGAAACCAGATGATTTCGAGGGCAACCCCGCCATAAGTGACGTTTCAGCTCACTATAGCCAACCGGCGGATGGCCCAATTATCGAAATTCTCGACGATTTACCTTATTTTACACGAATGCGAAAACCGCAAGCACAACAAAAAACACGACCAGATCGAACCGTCAGGTTCCCGGAGTAATTAAAGTCATATTCAACCAAGTAGTGTGAAATAAAATGTGCCAACCATCTTTTCAATGCGAAATTTTTTCAAGGCATCATTTTTTATTCACTGAGAATGTGAAAATCCCCATACATTTTACCCTTTTATATAGATTTTTTACTTCCACGTAATGAAACTTCTTCAAAAAAGTAAAAATAGGCACAAAACCCATTTTCGGTATATTTCTATATAAATGTTCCCCATTTTTAAACGAAGTCTTCTTGCTATTAAAGACTCATATTTATATTCCAGGTGCAACGATCACTGAAAGAAACGTCAAAAGACACTGAGGTTCGCGATCAGCGTACAATCCGATTTATTGTATTTTATTTTTTCACTCACCACGACACTCGAGAATACGTTGAGACAACCAGGGGCCACTTTCCGCAGTGAGCCCATTGAAATAGTTTTACAAACAGTTTACCATTCTCGTTCATTTCACTAAGTGTTTCTCGACCCGTGATAAGTTCTCTTCCTGTGTTGTCCGCTCACAGTTTGGCATTCATGTCGCCCCACCCATTAGAATTTTGATGTCGCCACCTGTGGTGGGGTCTTATCCAGTGCTGACTGCAGTTGTCTATAGGCTTCCCCCGCTTGATCCGCATTTTTGTGGGTGCGTAGCACTGTATTATTGTGACTCTCCTTTCTTCTGAGTTGAACCTTGCAGTTATGATCCTGGAGGAGATTGGTCCCCACTGCATGAGAGCCTTCGATAGGACATCATAATGGGCACTGCCTCCGTGTGCTCGTGGTTGTCGTCTGGGTGACAATGTCTGCGTAGATTATTGACTGTCCAGATGACAGTTCTGAGGATCCGGTGATATTCTATCTGCTATGGCAGATTCCTAGCACTTCATTGCTATACTTCCACATTTCCTTTGCAGTCTGAGCAGCTTCGCTAGTTCAAACACCATGCAGACATTCCATGTCCTCATGCTTACTTTTTCTTTCACCAAGAGAAGAGCAGACATATCGGCGACTGGCGTCCCTAAGGTTTTCGCCAACTGGCGTCATTTCGCCTCCTCAATTCCAGCGAGGAATAATTTTATTTTTGTCTTCAACATTTCCACTGTGCTTTGAAGTTTCTTTCGCGGTCGGACTGGTGTATGGTGTAGGTTTGCTAGCACCACGCCCAACCTCCCCTCTTCATCCGGGCACAGGAATGACTAAAAACTGGTGAACTAGTTATCCTGGCAAGGAGCGGAACCGATACCAATTAGGAGCATTCCATTATCCCGAAGTATCCAGTCAGGGTCCCTCAATTACGCCCGTAAGCCCTCGTTTTTGGACAAGTTACGTTACGTTAGATCATGTGGCCCTTTAATTTACACAAAAAAAACGGCGTTCCACATCTTCTTTTCATCCTTCTAATCAATAAGGACGATATCCAGGGATAGCTTTGGCCATCCTTAACAAAATGCTCTTCTTATAATGTTCAAGACCGTATGATCAAAATTTGACATAAGTTGTAATAACGACGGCTCGTTTGAAGCGTTTGAAGCGATGGGTATGGGGTTCGAGTCTCAGTGGCAACAACACAACTCACTGAGACGCAGCCGACGAGTCTCAGATAGGACGAAACGCGCGTCCTGGACTCTTCCGTTAGCCACAACCAAACAAACAACGGCGCGCATTGCAAATCGTAAGGCGTTGCAAAAGTTACTTTCTGGACTGAAGCAGATTCCAACACCGTTAAAAACGGATCATTTTCGCAGCAACTGCCTGCAACTAAAATTTTAGGCCCTAACCAGCCTACCTATGAAGCGTTCATGTGCCTAGCCTTCAGGTACTTATGGCTTGTGTCCCACTTACATGCATGAGTTGGCACGAAACCGTTTCAAAGGTAATGTGAACTAAGATAAAATACCGGGGTAGTTAAGTCCCCTTGGTTTGGCTTCAACTCGGAAATGGTCACTTATAAATAAGTCCTTTGTCCTTATACTAAGAAGTTAGTATGAAAATTTAACCTGACGAGCACCACATTCATGTGCTTCTGGAGCGGCTAACTGTATGTGGGGGTCATCAAGAACATAGATCAGTATGTCACCATATCCCAACCCACAGCCCTGCCTCTCACAGCATAGTAGCGCTAGATCCCATATAAGTGAGGCACTAGTGACGACCGCCATCTCAGGACCGAGTTCACGGACCAAGAAATCCAGCTCTATCATTTCATTCCTAACCCTGCAGCTTTAAGAGTCCTACAACCTACAACCATACAGTGAAAAAACGGCTGTTTCCAGAACCTCATGATCAACAGTGCAGAGATTCTTTTAGCTAACCTGTCTTTGGGTTTGGCGATAGATCCCTTTCTTCTTTATCGATTCATATGACTTCAGTCTGCTAGGATGCGGATATTCTGAACAAGTAGATCGTATCCATTGTTCAGAAGTAGATCCGTTTACTTTTTCTACTTCATATACAGGCACAACTAGAACTTTCCTCTAATCACGTTCTTCATCAGTTCCCCTCCTAACCAAACTGCTTTGAAGAAATGTAATTCTGGAGACGTTTCAGGTAAGATGTGTACGATAGCCGACTGGACTAACTTCAGATAATGCGAACAACGAACTAAAGAAAGGGTCTTTTACTGCTGACAGCCAGCCATTCAAAGAATATCACACTCAATGTCAATCGGACCTTCTTGTATCTCAATTTAACAATTTGCGAACCCTTTTCAATGGGATTCACAACCTTACTAGTCTCAGCGCGCATTTTGAAAGCAGTTCGTGGGTTCGTCGCTTACTTCAAGTACAGTTTTTCCGGATCACGTCTACCTGAAGACTTCAAATCAAACGACGGTCATTCGAATATTTTTTGGTGTAAATATCATCTATACCTATTTTCGTTAGTGTTTTATATATTTCATTACTGTCTTCCAAGACATGATAGAATATCTGACCGGTACAAACGGCCAGGTCTGAGACCTACCTGCGTTCCCCTGGCTCACTGTTTCCCAGCTCCCTTGGATATCTCATAACTGTAGAACCTATAGCCAGGGGAAGAGTTTTCGTCAGGCTACTTCCTCTCGCTCAGTCAAACACGAATGCTTAAATAATGCGTGGGAATGCTGAAATAAGATGGGTCAATGCATTGGGTGGGAATGCTGAAATGCGACAAGTATGCCGGTTTTTAAGGACTACCCGCATAACTTACGCACTTAAAGAATGACTGCAGAGTACGTGCGTAAATCCCTCTGTATTTACCCACAATTCTTACCTTATTTCGGCGCTGACCGCTTCATTAACGCAAAGTTATGGCCTAATTGAAGCATTATTTCAGCACTCGACGCTTTACTGACGCGAAATTTCAGCATTCCATGATTAATTTACGCAACATATTACATTACTTCAAAACGTTTCTCAGAGTAGTCCACGTAGTTTTATGAAATTTATATTTATTGAAATTATTTACATAAAATTTATTTCAGTTGTGGCCTCTCACTCGTTTTTTTTAAGTCATTGGCTATCTAAAAAAACGGGTAGTTTAGTACAATGCGACATTGATCACGTTTTCAGATCTAATTGCAGAATAAACAGTAAGCCTACCGGTTCCGTATGTTCTTCGGTATTGATAAAAGTTGTCGGCTGTGAACATCAAAGAGTAGAAATTCAGTTTTTTGGCGGCGATGAGATGATTGAAGGTTAACTGGATGTACAATAGAACTTACGAATGCTTTCGGCTTAAAACGCCTAACCACCTTGTCCGTATATTGTGGAAGTAGGACTCAGTAGTAGCATCCATGATGCCTTCAATTTCGCGTTGACATATGAGTGGACTAGCGAACTTGGATGTGATAACAGCTAAGGATAGGATAGTGATTAACGTGAATCTCACATCATGATTTTATAGAAATTGAAGTTAATGATCCCAGCCTTTCTTGAAGTTCCAAGCATGGTAAACTGCATGCCGAGATCCGGTTTCAAGACACTGCTCATCATCACTTTCAAAGATGACTTCGGCTCATCTTGCACTTTGGCAATCATCTTCGCGGTTTGCAAGTTTAGACTTCATCAATTTTAACTCACAAACATCCCTCGGAAGTTTTCATCCTTCAAAGACGCTTCCAAAAATTCTAGCTAGTCCTCGGTTACCAGTGGAAAGTGAACATGGAAGTCATCGATTGAAATTGCACTGGAGGATGCCGTTCTGTTAAGCGTCTTCGCAGAGAAAAGTGAAAGCTTCGTTACTACTTTCAAAGTTTCAGTTATTCCCTCTGAATACTATAATGCGTTTGTTAATTAAAGCTTACGCATCATTTTTTGTTCCAATTTGATCATCTCTTTGATAGACGATTCAAGTCTCGGAGACCTAGGAGTGTTCGACGTAAACTGTTAGGTAAACTTACGGCTGGGATCATTAACTTCAATTTCTATAAAATCATGATGTGAGATTCACGTTAATCACTATCCTATCCTTAGCTGTTATCACATCCAAGTTCGCTAGTCCACTCATATGTCAACGCGAAATTGAAGGCATCATGGATGCTACTACTGAGTCCTACTTCCACAATATACGGGATAACACAGGCAATCTGAGTCAATTATGATTGCCAAAAACCGCATCGACGTACTTGCTTCTCTCGCATAGTCCCCTTCGCCTAACCTGGACATTGCTCATAGGGTGATTTCACGATACACAAGCAATGCTTCGAAGGTATTTGTGTTCAGAAACCTATAGTCTCTCTATACCTTCTGCTTTCAACGATCATGTCTCTTAGACGTGTAACACTACCGAACTGACGAGTGTAGTGTGCCCTCGTTCTTTGATGGGTAGTTGGATATCTCACAGGTTAGCGCCAGATAACAAGTGGGAGAATGCCAGCTTACATATGTTGAATGGTAAGACTTCAATGTACAAGTGTTCCACCTAGTATACCGTTGGGTTATTGTGACATAAAAGCTTGATCACCTGGTAACGTAGTGGCTTTCGACTTGGGTTCTCAGAAAGATAGGATTAAGTAGCTGCTCATGACAAGAAATCACTGGTTTGTGTTCTCTTCATTGACGTCAGTAACGTTTTCGATAATGTTCCGCACGTTAGACTTATGAAGTGACCCTCAAGTTTCGAGTTTGACATTGATGCAACTCTAGATATGAGGATGTGTATCCGGTAAGAGACGAAGAGTAAAAGTCGATAGAAATTTGAGTTGCATCCTGTAAGAAGTGGCTTTTCCCATAGAACAGTGTTCGGTCGTTATGCTTTGTTCTTTTGTGCTAACAAACTTTTAGATGATTAAGTCCCCTGTGCTTTTATTCTGGGGTAATGTCGAAATACAGAAAGTTATCCTTAACGAGGCTGACATATGGACTACAAGGAAACTAGTCAAATATTCGTAGCGTTGGTGTATAGGGATTAGTTCTATCGAATATGCACATTTGTCACAGCAGCTGTCACTAATATTTATAGATGGAACACCAGTACTTGATGTCTTAGGAAATTATAGAGATGGGTTTGTTAGTAAGCCATAACTTGAAGACTTTTTTACGCTGCATTGAAGTTTTCAGTTACCATGGTCTTTTTGCAGAGCGCTCAAATGCTTTGGTGAATGCATGTTTCGGATATTGTACTCCACTTTTATGAGAACCCACTTCGAATATTGCATTCAAGCAGGTAGTCCTTGCTTCATAAAACATGAAATTATGGTCCAGTGGTTAGAAGAGTTGACTTTCAATCAAGCGGGTCATGGGTTCCAGCCTTGCTCAACCTACCCAGGTTTGAGCAGCCAGGTAGTATCATCAACCTTTACACAATAGATGTGATTCATTGCCTACTTCAAGAAAATGCGCAAAGTTTCCGAGCGCATCTCTCTCATAAAAGGTGCTAAGGTACTGAGGCAGGTCCTAAAAACTTGGTACTAGGTTGGTGGTTAGTCTTTCTAGACTACTCCACAAAGACAGTTTAGTGAATGAATCTTTCTTCGTTGTCTGATTATTAGGAGAAGAGCGAACCTAGTATTAGCATTCCGTATGCTTAACAATAAACCTGATTGATGTGCTTTGTTTCTCCCCTCCATTGAGATTTGGTCATCTTCAAGGCCACCACAAGTAGTTCCTAAAACCACGTCTGAATCCACTTGATGTGAACCTATGCTTCTCACAGCTAGTGGAAAACGACCAGAACTCATCGAAACAAGTGGTATCAGCTGCTTCGATGAATGCATTTAAGAAGAAACAAAAGGTTCACAGAAAAACCTACTTCAAGGATCAATAAGAGTCAGATTGACGTACTGTTCTTATTACTGAAGATAGCCTGGACACGCTAAACTTGCCTTATCTAAGGTGAACGAAGCTATCGCATACAGTTTTTTGTGTTAAGAATAGTAAGTCGAGTTGTGTGTAATAATCCTGGAGGTATACATTTCTGTGAAGACCCAGTTTTACTTTAAAAGTGTTCACATATGGAGCTGCTGCCACAATCTCTGTTAACACATTTCAGTCATTAACCACCCCTACGAGAGGGTCTGCGTTTCGCTTAACCGTGACTTTTGAACGTTTTTTAGTAAATTCTTAGATAATCAACACTAGGTGTAAGAGGATTGGAGGCATTAACACATAGGCCGTTATTCAAAGTAGAATAAGACCACTCTTTTTCCAACTCTATGATGATGGGAATAGACTAAGACTTTCCAACCACTTCTTACATAGGTGGTGCGAAAGTCCTGTCATAAACGTAGTATCCATTTTTCGTATCCGTCAGAGTGTCTGTGTCTCTCAAAGCAAAAACTAGCTGTCTGTATGTTATGACCCGAATGCTCCTTTGTGTATTGCTATAGATACATCTGATTCGGGTACTGGAGCTGTTTCGCAACAACTGATCAAAAATCAGTTACTACCACCAGCCTTTTTAGTAGAATTTTGGTGTCTTCAGGCGAGTATCAAATGAGCTTTAAGTGACTACTTACGTTGAAAATGACTGATTGGTCGTTCCAGAAAGTTTTGAATTATTAAAAGGATGTTGGTTAAAGATAGGCTTATACAAAATTTCGATTTATCCGAAAGGAATTATTTCTCATATGATCTTACACTGTTTGATAGTTATGCCTGCATTCCCTAAAATTATGGACAAGAAGTTCGCACTGGAGTATTTATTAGTGGTAGACTGCATACTTTGAAACTTCATCACAACATTTTTAATGGGCTAAGGCCTAACACTTAATTTCAAGTTAGTTCACAGTACCCAGTAAAGTCATAAAGCCGCTTCATAACTTATTTTTTTAAAAGTTTTTTACTTTGAAGTTTTTTTACCTAGCATCCAACTTCATGAATCTGATGTATATTTTCAATTCACAAACTCTAATTTTTGCATCATTCTACAGGGCTTAATGGACATAAATCAGAAGCGGTAAGGGATCGCTTGAAAGCTTACTTACGTCCATATCTCAGTGTAAGTGGTTTATGGAGTTATTACACGTACTTTTATTCTAAGCAATAAGCAGTTGAAAACCTAGATATTTTCCTGAACACCGTCATAAAAATGTACTTATTGTAATTTCCTTTTATTACTGTATTAAACATGAGAGAAATAACCGTTCTCCTAATGGTGCGCCTAAGTTCATTTGGTATTCGCCTACGGACAGCAAGAATATCTAAGTTCTACCACTTATTTCTCAAATTCTTTGCGAAAAGCGGAAACAAAGTACAGAATATTTGATAGGGAACTCCTAGCTTTGCACTGTTGAGAAAGCTATTTTCGACATTTCATTAAAAGTCGTAATTGCGTAATTTTCACAGATAAATTAACCATTAATCTTCTCTCTTGACTCAGCATCTGTTGAATAATTTCTACCTGAGTCCTAACAACTAGACTACGTTCCCCAGTTCACATATTTAGGGCGAATATCTCTGTAGGTGATGCGTCGTCTCCGATATCTTCGACAAACCATTTCAGGGTATTGATCTTGTTGGACTGGCTCGCTTTTAAAAGATCCTGATTTGAACCACTACTTGTCTTTCACAACTCTCAAACTGCAGCTAAGTTCGGTAGGGGTGAAATTTTTTGTCATGTATCTGCTATTCAGCCATACCCGATACTACCCAAAAGACGACGTCTTCAAAAACTCGCACAAACTATCTCATCTCACAAGCCATCACCGAGCTTATCACACAACGTTTCCGCTGGCCTGACGTTACGTAGTGAGCTTGACCATATGTAGATTGTCAGAATTGTAAAAACACCCAGCATTAAATAAAGCCTTTCAGGATCTTTTCTAATGCCAAATGCTTGTTCCAGCCATTTCTATATAGATTTTGTAAGACCCCTACAAAAACTCTATGGATACATCCATTTTTCATTTGCTTGAACCATTTAAGGAAAAGACCGGGTGCAGTATCTATTAGAGATAAAACTTTCAAAACCAAAGCTCATGCCTCAGCTGAAAGTGGACAGAAAATTTTGAATAATCATCTTTCATAACAACCGACCGTAAGCACCATTTATAGTGTGATTTATTTCATGCTTTAACTGCGCTCGATTCAAAACGACAGTGTCTCATCCACTAGGAAATGGTATGATAGAGTGTTTCGATCAAGAGCTGCATTTTCAGTTGCTAACATCCATGAACCAAGGTGGTGCCAATAGTCCTAATGAATATCCATAGAGCATTTAAATTTGGTGATGGATGCACTCCACAGAACTCCTTCACGGAGCTGCTCTCCAACTACGAAATGAATTCATTTCACCTTTAACTTTTACGTCGGTTTTCGATAGGAAGTCTTACATCACCAGATATACGAATGCTATGCTTCCAGTCAGGTCTGCTTCTTTTCGACCTCAGGCAACAGCTATTTTCGTTCTTTCAATGTTATGATAAAAATGCGTTCGTCAGCCGTTTAAACTACCTTATGACAGACTATTCAAAACCGTCAAGGGCTACGAAAGATTTAATGTCATCGATCAGATGTGAAGATACTGTAACTATCGACGGTTTCGATAAAGCTTACTTCGAAGGTAGCCCTATCGTCAGCTGTATCGTTTCTTCCCAAAACAGCCAAACGGTAGCAGACCCTTAAGTACTTTAACATCTTGATGACCCAGCTAACGACATAACACTGGCCAGCTTGGAGAAAAACATATTCAGGTTGATCTGTCAGGTTCCCAGAATATTTGAAATAATTAGCTGATAAGTGTGTTTAAGCATATGTCAGCTTGGTTTCTTTTGCTAGTAGCACTGTTTCAGCAGGGATTCGTATCTTTCTTCACTCTTTTTGTATCATCGTGTAGCTTACTCATTTTTTTGTAAGATTTTTCTATTCCAGGGGGAACAGGAGCTGATCTGAAGGTTAACGGAACGCGATGACCAAGGTTGACCTTCCATACCATTAGTTGTTTGCGGTGACATACTAGAATATATTTACACAACCAGTTACCATTGCACGCAGCGAGCCTAATACGTCCGTTTAACTAGTGGCCATTAATTTTTAGCTTCCAGTTAATATCATCTTAAGGTTTTCACAAACCCAAGAGGAATGAGTAAGTTGTAGCAGCAAATGATTCCTTTAGCTTAAGGTCCGACACTATTCAGTATTGGTGCTGACCTTTACACTTATAACATACTTGTTAAACTGAAGGTAGACAGTCAAACAATCACATCATTTGGCACGCTGCCTTATTACTTCATGCTGCTTGTTCATGACCCGGTAGTTAGCTGGTACACGCATCTCAGTGTATTGGTATCATTCACCGAACATAAGACTGACACCCCTAGCTACCCGTGTTTTTTTCATAGTCTTGCGCTCGGGGATATTCATCAAGTATGGCGAATTTGTGATTGGGCCCTGTGTCTGTCGAGGTCGCCTGTGGACAATCCCTGAACACCTATACCATAGTTTAGGTTGATAATGAAATTTACTATAAACGACCGTAAATAATCGCTGTGGACAAAGAATAATAGAAAGTCTGCAGATGACACTGTCATAGACTTCAGCAAAGCGTTTGACAAGGCAACTTATACCAGGTGCCTGAAACTCGAAAGTTCCTAAACCAGCTTCAATCTGCTTGTATGGATTGAAGCGTTTCCTGTTCATAGGAGATAGGGTAAAGATCAGTCCAAAACTCTCTTACTGGAAGTAAGTATATAGTGAAGTGCTGCAATGCAGTGCTGGGTTCTCTACTATTTTATACACAAACTGTCGGGTGTCACGAAACAAATGACTATCTACGCTGATAATGAATACTTCTGGCGAGAATGGAAAAACAACTCTACGTTCTAGCACAAGGTAGGTAAAGTGAGACCCAGTGACACTACCTTGTCGCTCAGATCTAGATAGCGACAATACGAAGATGACTATGTACATGCACTTTATACAAATCCATGCAATTTGCTATTCTGTTCAGAGAAATGGCTGATTCCTATCAAAGGAGGTCGGTGTATTCAGAAATGTAAGACATACAATGGCAACACCGACAATACTGGTGGGGTTCCTTTACCCTCAGTACGGACCTAAAATGATCTAGGAATTACAGAAGAGGCGCTTAAGGTTACAGAACTTTTTCAAAACTAACTTATTTTTTCCTTTGCATTAAGTCAACGCATTCAAGAGCATAGCAGGAGAGCTGGAACACCAAGGACGGAAGTTGTCACCGTGAGATACTGGCTTTCGCATCGAGTAATCAACTTTCGATGCCGACTCTCAGAAGAAGTGGTCAACGCGTGATCGACTGATTCATTCAAAAGAGTACTGGACCCCCAACACAAACAGTCAAAATAAGTTCATAGTCTTCTGCACTCAAGCCCAAAATGTGAAGCCGTAATCCCAGAAAACACAATTACAGAACCTGTGAAATTTGCGAAACTTGCAGCGAAACAAAAAGGTATTGAAGACCTGTAGAAAGGCATTTGAATTATGATAGATACGGCAATTTACCACTTCATCCACTGCCTACCTTTTTTTACTTGTTTCTTTCAAGTTAGTTTTTTTAATACAGATAATTCTGCAGTTTCGCTGTTCTTGTTCAATTTACATTGATCCATCAGTTTTGAGGAATAATGCAGTTAAGTATTACTCAGTTAATGATATGTACCTACAAATTGCTAAACTAAATAAAATCGGTTTATCTATGCTGCTTAAGTGATTATTTCATCTACCATCCAACATAACGAATTCTGATTTCCTTAAAAAAATTTCTAAGGAAGTAATGAGAATTAAATCCGTATTTTACATTTTAACACACTAACTTCATGTGCATTTATTAGTGACTTGTATTACAGTTCACTTATGATTTTGTGAGTTTATCGTGAATTACTGTATACTTCAGAAATATGTCGCATTAGTCAGTGGGATGATTGAAAGCTCTCTACTCGAACACTTGTGGGCATGTTAGAGCCTATGGCGAATTGTCCGGGAGCTATACTCATCGAGTGGTGTCCGTCAAGGATGTCCATTATCTCCATTCTTATTTAATTTTATCATAGATACTCTTATGGAGGTTTCCCTCCACCTAATTACACAGACGTTGACCTAATAGGTGTATTTTCTTGGGATGCGTTTCTCACCACGTAAATGCAAATTCCTGCTCCAGAATTCGTCTTCAGCGGTGCCACGGCTAACAGTAGAGAGAAGGGGTTGAGTGTGTCGACCACTTCACTTACTTGGGAAGTAGGATCAACTCTGTTGGGTCAGTTGCCCATGAAATCCCTGTGCGGATACAGAGGTTCGGTTGGCTCTCGCCAATTTACGCCACCTAGGGCGCCGCCGTGATATCTGTTTGTCTATTAACGGTCCCGTTTACTGCACAGCAGTCCATTCTGTTCTACTGTGCGACTGTGAAACATGGCCATTGAAAGTGGAAGATATAAGAAGGCTTCAAGTGTTTGACCACCGTTGCATTCGTAGTACGGGCCGTATTCTGTGGTGTCACCACGTGAGTAATGCAGAAGTCAGGTGTAGGTGTAATTTTAGGAAGAGGTAAGTCGGTTGACGAGGTTATGAACCTTCATCGACTGAGATGGTTGGGACACGTACTACGTATGCCCAGTCACCGATTGCCTCGTCACACAATGTTAGCTGAAGTAGGTCCAAGCTGGAAAAAGGCCCGAGGTGGCCAGACTAAAACATGGCACCAATGTATGAAGTCTCTGACTATTGGTTTAAGCCATGTAGGGCGATGCAGACTAGGTGGTTGGGGTCCACGGGACAAGAGGAACCAGTGATTGGAGACCCTAGGTGATATGGCTCAGAACCGAAGTCAGTGGCTCAGATGTATACACACATTATCCTCATCTTAACAACGCTATACCGAATCTCACTATTTTGTCACTCTACTTTCCCTTCTTCTCGTACTTTATATTTCTTTTGACTGCATTCACTTATCTTCATCCTTCACCTCACTACCTTTTTACTTGATGTAGTGATATGAGGTGTGGCAAGTTGGACCGTTACACAGTAATGCCTGGTCCTGTGTTGATATTGATTGAGTGGGATGATTGTTAGGCGCGTAAATGTGATACTTTCTCTAACATTCCCTCAGGAAGATCTTGGTTACTTACAACAAACGGGTACGAAGTCATTTGTTCGTGGTTAGATTTGTATTCGACTCAGCGTAGAAGTTATACATCAGTGAAATGTACATCGTGCATGTTAGATTATCACGCAAGAACTGTTACTCTGTGGAAACTAATGTGGGTTTTCTCATGTGCAAATAAATACTGGTCAAAAAATTACCAGGTAGCACTTAGGTATGTAATTCTTCTTAAGAATCCTGTGTATTTTCTTTGATTCACCAACTGATATTTATCAAGTGCGATGGATACGTTCGTCAACCATTTACCTAGATTAATAGGTTTAACAGTTCAGTGGCTACAGTTTCTCGTGATTCCAAATAAATTGGTATTCCACAACTTATCTCGATGTCATGCACTCAGTGGTTACTCTATGGAGCAGCAATACTTGGAGTAAATCCCACGAAGCGTTTTTAAACATATAGTGCATAGTATATATACTCTTTTTTGTCAGATGTGTAGATACTAGCACCAAAGGAGTAGTAAATAGATATCTTTTGTATCATAGTCAAAATTCCGTCAACCACTAAAGCTGAAGCAATACTTCATCATCAAGATCAAAATGGGACCAGGCATTACTGTGTAACGGTCCAAGTTGCTAAACCCTATATCACCACCTCAAGTAACAAGGCAATAAAATGGAGAGAGGAAGTAGAATAAGAGAAGGAAGAATGAAATGATGAGATTAAGCATAGCGGTTAATGTGTGTATGCCTCTGCGCCATTGACATCGGTTCTTAGCCATATAATCTAGTCTCCAACCACTCGTTTCTTTTTTCCCGCGGACCCCAATCAGCTAGTCTGCATCGCTCAAACGAACAGTCAAGAACTTCATGCATTGACGCCATGTTTCAGTTTGGCCGCCCCGAGCCTTTTTCCAGGCTGGACGTACTTCGGCCAACACTGTGCTACGAGGTGGGCGGTGGCTAGGCACATGTCACAGCCATCTCAGTCGATGAAGGTCCACAACAGCATCAACTACCTTACCTTTCCTGCCTGAAACTCTACGCCTGAGTTCTGCGTTATTCACTTGGTGACACCACTAAACATGGCCCATGATACGACGGCAGTGATGGTCAAACACCTGAAGCGTAATCATGTCTTCTACCTTTAATCATCGCGTTTCACAGCCATACAATAGAACAGATCGGACTGAAGTAGAGTACATCCGACCCTTAATGGACAGTTGGATATCACAGATAGCGTCGGTTGGCAAAAGCCAGCCGTGCAGAGATTTCATCGATTACTAAGCCACCAGGGCCGAAGTGGATTTATGGGCAGACTAGTCACCTGAGACCGACTCATACCAGAAACGTCAGTTGGACAATGGTACGATGAAAACAGTTGCCGTCATAGGCTAAATTGATGGGCATTTAAGGGCGAGGAGTGGTGAGACTCCCTGTTGTCTCCTTATAATCTCTGCTGATGCACCCAATAACTACAGTTCAAATGAGTTCTGCCGGAGATTGTCTAACCTACTGAAAACTATGAGTCCAAATGTGGTTTTAGCAGGTGGTTTCGATACACAAGTGGGTAGGTTGAGTAAAACAAAGAGGCACTTAGATGGAAATTTCGGAATCCCAGCCGGAGCAACAGATGATGGTGATTTCCTGCTACAAGTGTGTTCAGATAGCCACCTATGGGTGTTAGCACAAACTTCAGACATAAAGAGAGGCACTGTCTGACATGGCACCCATAGGCTTCAACTAAACAGTGAACAGAGACGATATTGCTATCATTTATCGCTGAAGAGGGTCGGTGGGAGATTCCTGCTCCTCCTGCAAAATGTGTTTAGACGGTGTTCACGCATGTCTGAGCTTAAATGGGCGTAGAAAAAGTACAAGGAAACCACTCCGAGTGCAGCTCAACTATGAGCGTATTACGGATACTCTCGGCGAGAAACTGACTATACAGCTATCGGAACAGGACAATATCACTCATTCGGGGAAAGTTTGGTGCCTTATCTAGTCTGCTGTAAAAACAGTGTTAAAGACCGTGACTGAATCTCAGGAAGATGCTAAGTAGCGTCAGTGGCATCTTCAGAACCAATCGATGCCCATGAATGCATTTCTAAAGGCTCTGGCCACATTGAGGAATGGAAGTAACTCAAGTGAAGACTGATGAAAAATATACACAATGACTACGAGCAGCGATAGGTAACAATCGACAGTCACCTAGATTCTTCACAGAAACTGAGGGAACAAGTTCGACGGTTAGTGAGACTGTTGCGAAAATGGATGGGGTTGCATTTCACTCTCAAGACGACGACTAGGACTGTGAGCAAACAGTTTGACAAACAGTTCAAGTGGCTCGCAGCAACTGTTCTGTTGCCAACTATCCAGTCGGATACTGACAGACACGGTATCCAGCCCCATATAAAAATGAAAAAAATGTGACCGATCTGAAACGAGAAAGGGCAATTACGCCAGATGGAGCAGTACAGGAGTTATTTGAGGACAATCGTCGTGGATTGCTGATCATCTTAACTGGAATGTTAGGTAGTGCATTTGAGTCAGATATAATCTCAACTGACAAGTGTTAATCACTGATTGTCTCAGAAGAAAGGCCAGAAATCCTCTCGTGGTAACCATAGATGAATTAGCCTGGCGAAAAGTGTCTCAGACTTCCGGTTCTTTTATTATGCATCTAAGGGGAGCTCAGGAACAGCCGAACCCAAGTAGGTTTCAGACCTGGTTACGTATGTATCAGTCAGATATTCCCTCCACCATGCCTCGGGACACAGTCACACGTAGCAATATCCAACACCTGCTGCATTGCTCCACATGAAGGCAGCATTCAACTGAGATCTTATGGCAGTGTATTGCACTGGTAGGAGTGCTGGACTGTTTTATACTGCAGTAGCCATGAGCGTATTAGAGCTCACGATACGGTGTCACTTTAGTCGTGTTTATCGAGTGGTGTCGGTCAAGGACCCCCCTTTGGTAGATTTAATGTTGAGTGAAGACGATGACAAGGTGCATCGTCCACTGGACACCTTGAGTGGGGACTGGAGGATATTTGGAATGTGTCTCTCACCACCCAAATGCAAATTATTGTCCCATGACTGGTCTTCGCTGGTGCCTTGTCAAACAATAGGGAGTCATATATTTGAGTGAGTTGACCGTTGCACTCAAAGTCGAATTAGCCCTCGTGGATAGAAAAAGCTCACTTGGCTTCCACTTACTTCTGCCATCCATGGAACCACTGCGACATGAACTGGGAGTATTTGAAGCAGACCAGCGTATCATCTTACATTTGGCAGGTGCGATCGAAATGCTTACCAAACATACTCGGATTTCTACTCAACGTGCCCAGAGGACCCTGCAATTTGTCAGGGTCTTCATACTCCAAGTCAACCAGATGACCTCCAGGGATTAAATCACTCCCTGTGAAGTGAGACATACCCCACAGTCACGTCTATTAGTAAACCTATAACGACGTTAAATAGGAATGGTGACAATGGGTATCCTTTGCGTACACCACTAGTAGCTTATCACTCACTAAAACATGACCAGTGTCCAGACAAGTACTCCATATAGGGCAGCAGTCCTGTTAGCATTGACGCCA